TACTCTCCTCCTTGTCTTTAGTCTTTGCTGTGTGTGTGTGTGTGTGTGTGTGTGTGTGTGTGTGTGTGTGTGTGTGTGTGTAAAAACATAGTTAAAAGCTCTGGAATCTGGTTACTGCAGGAACATAGCACTATCACGGACCCTTAAACAGCTAACTACGTCTTACAGGAATCATGTGTTTTGTGTTTACAAACTACGTAAAGTGATCAGCAGGAAGTCATGTCACACGCTCACTGTTTAGTTGCTTTGTTGTCTGCATCTTCCTCCAGCACTGTTTACCTTCCCCTTTTTCCTATCCTCCACCAGTACAGTTGTTGGTGCGTTCGCCTGTTTGACAGAATAGTTTCATATGGATTGTAAACATGGAAGAAGCCCAGACAGTCTGTTGACTAATTCTAAAGATCAGTTGGAGAAGTGTGACCTGAGTTTTGTGCTGACACAGCACAGAAGAAGAGGGCAGCTGACACATCATCGCATTTACAAGTGTCTTCACAGCACTCTGCTTTTCAGAATAAATGGTGTGTGTGTGTGTGTGTGTGTGTGTGTGCGTGTGTGGAGTGAAGTGAAGCTGATTTGGTAAAAACTGATGGGACACCTTTGTTACTGTATCACTCCCCTGTTATTATACAGACATCTTGCTATGTGCAGCTAGCTGTATGTCAGTAATAATTAATTAGCACATAGATATTTGAAACCATTCAGAATCCTTCATCCAGAGACTTTAATTTTGACAGGCAGTTTGTGATTCGGTAGAGAAGGGCAAACAGGCTTCAGTTGTTACAGACGATCTTCTTATCTTTCATCTGACTCTTGTCTTTGCTGCCTCAGGTAATGATTGAGAGGTTTCTGACTTTTCAGACCAGAGATTATGTGACAAACGCAAATAGAATCACTCTTTCTGTCATTTATTTTCTCATTTGATGAAAAATGAGGATTTGTCGATGTTCTCCTGTTGGCAGAATCTGTTGAGTATTCACAGACACATCATGTTAGAGGTGAGTTGAGTCTGTTGTCATCCAGAAAGCGTTCATAGTGGTTACATATACTTCATTTTGAATACACAAAGTAGGAATCTACATTTCATAATTATTATAATTATAAAATACAAAACAATTACAGAACACTATTTCAGGGTATCCATGGGGTCTCCAGTCAATTGATTTTTAGACCTTAAAATGTCTTAAAATGATTTTGACAGGTCTTAAAAATTGATTGTATTGATGAAGTACATTTACTCATCAACAGTATTGAATTCTACTGTATTAGACTGTACTGAAAAATATACATAATATTTTATGAAATTATACAAAAGCATGTTTAGTTTTCAGTCCTTTTTAGGTTCTTTGCAACTGATGATAATATGAATAATCGTTTAATATTGAAACTGATATTTGGGTACTGAAAAAATATTTATAATGGCCTAAAAAAGGTCTTTAAAAGCCTTAAATGTAAGTCACCGCAGCTGAACAGGACCTCCACAGCCGGGATCTGTCCACACTGGGGTTTTCACTTCCATGGTCCGATTAGACTTCTGGATACAGGAGGCAGACTGATGGCTTTGGATGGAAAATGCATCGCCTTATTTTTCAGATGGTGACTGAATGTGATGTACAATACAAACACTGTTCTATTTTAGTTGCAAAAACAATGCAATTGTAGCTCCAACACATATGGAGGAGTGGTGTCGTGAATGTTCCTGTCCATATAGGCTCGGTAGAGACACACTCAGCCACATTCTGCATTCTTTCTAAACTCAGTGAACATTTTTGAGTTGTGCTGAAAACACTGGAAACTAATCTGCAATGGATAAACGGTTGTAGGGCTGCAGTGATAGGTTGATTAATAGATTGACAGAAAGTGATTGGGAAACTTTTGATCAAAGGATTGTTTTAGATGATTTCGATAGCTAACCTTTGTAATAGACATTTTCCAGGCAGCTACTTCAACTTGGCATAGCAGGGACAGCACAGGTGGGACTAATTAACATTAGTGAGTGTGTTCTGGTTAATCCTCCCAGTCAGTTGTACTCTGCTTAATACCAGAGCACTGGAACTGCTCAAGCTAAATAACATGCAGCCAGTGTTATTAATGCTATTAATTCTACCTGTGCTTTTCTTGCTATTGAATGTCGAAATGTCTTTCAACACACAGGATTTGTAGAGCAGGATTTGTAGGTGCTGTGTGTCACAATGAACTTAAAATGCTCAAAGAAAAAGGAAGACAATCAGCAGTGTGATGACATTGTAGTGATGGTGTGGTTTTGACACCCGATGGATTCAGTGTTTGAGGAGAACTGGCTGTTCTCTCTTTGTGGCAGAGCTGCTGACTGACTGTTCTGCTCTGCCGCTTAGGTAATGGAAAGTGAAGAGTTCATGCTGCTGCCTGCCAACCAGTTGATAGACATCATTTCCAGCGATGAGCTCAACGTGCGGAGCGAGGAGCAGGTTTTCAACGCCGTGATGGCCTGGGTGAAATACAGCATCCAGGAACGCAGACCGCAGCTTCCCCAGGTCTGTAGAAATATTCCTCCTGCTTGTGTTGGCAGTATTGTTCTTGGTGTACAATCCAGTCATACTTCAGACTTCTGTGGTAGCAGGAGAACACTTTGGGACTGACGTGGATTTCCTGTGCTCTGTAGGTCCTGCAGCACGTCCGTCTGCCGCTGCTCAGCCCAAAGTTCCTGGTGGGCACCGTTGGGTCAGACCCTCTCATTAAGAGTGACGAGGAGTGCAGGTGAGTGCTGTTTGTTTGTCAACCATTTCAATGTTTTTGGTGGCAAAATGCCTTTTTGACCTTTTTATATGATGATGACAGTGATGATACAGTCAACAATCAACACATTGATTATGATAAAATGATATAAAACAGCATTATAATGACGTACTCTAGTTCTGCAGAGATGCCCTGGTTTTACAAATCTTATTCTACATATTCAAGATGTAGATTTGTTTGATACAGACCGCCCAAAACCCTAACCCTAACCCACATCATTATCATTTTATTTATTATATTTATTGTTTTATTAGAAAATTCAATTTGTAATGCAATAATTATCATTCCAACACTAATTGTGAATCTGATTGCATCTCAGTATCTGTAAACATAATGGCAATATGATGTGGTAATATGATTACCATGTTGTGCAGCCCTAATAAAGTCCCAAAATCAAAAGTGCAGAATGAATGGCCTATTAAAGAATAATATATATACTATATTACTGGATTATATTGATGCATTAATGTGTTCATCACTTTAATGTTGCAGCTTGTAACTGTGGAGCTAATTTTGAGTACTTTATACTGTTGTGTAGTTTATACTATAATAATAATAACAATCATTTATTAGTTGATTTCTAATTTGTATTACAAATAAGAATCTGAAAAGTAGCTAGTAACTAAAGTTATCAAATAAAAGTGGTGGAGTAAAAAGTACAATATTTGCTGTACTTGAGTAAATGTACTTAGTTACATTCCACCACTGGTTATTCTAAATTCTGACACAAAGATTATTACTGAAAATGTGTATCAGTTCCTTGATAATCAATAACCAGTATCTGTATTGGCCCTGAAAAAAACATATTGGGCAATCTGTAATACGTACACATTGATTTATGATTGACATACATTCATCATACACTTTTTCTGTTGTTTCAGAGACCTGGTTGACGAGGCTAAGAATTACCTGCTGCTGCCACAGGAGAGGCCATTGATGCAGGGCCCCAGAACCCGGCCCAGGAAACCCATCCGCTGTGGAGAAGTGCTCTTTGCAGGTCAGTACCATCAGGCAGTAAATTAAAACCAGGGCTTCCCTCGCATCAGATAAGTAGACGTGTAATAATCTGTGTGGAGGATTGTAAAAAAGTTCTCCTGTGTCTCCTCGTCTTGTAGTCGGCGGCTGGTGCAGCGGTGACGCCATTTCCAGCGTGGAGCGTTACGACCCACAGACCAACGAGTGGCGGATGGTGGCGTCAATGAGTAAACGGCGATGCGGAGTCGGTGTCAGCGTTCTGGATGACTTGCTGTACGCAGTGGGAGGTCATGACGGCTCGTCGTACCTCAACTCGGTGGAAAGGTCTGGCATCATCAGTCAAGCTTTATCTGGAGAGTTCATGGCCCTGTCTCTCTGTTTTGCTCAATAAAAAAAAAGATATAGCTGCTAGTTACTCTTTCATCTCTCCTGTCCAGATATGATCCTAAGACCAACCAGTGGAGCAGTGATGTGGCCCCCACTAGCACTTGTCGGACCAGTGTGGGAGTGGCTGTCCTTGGTGGTTATCTATATGCTGTAGGAGGACAGGATGGGGTTTCCTGTCTCAACATTGTAGAACGGTATCTGTCAGAACACACTTACTTACACACAGATTTCACACAGATGTTGTACAACGTGCTGTATTGACTCTTTGAATGCCAAAGTAAGGCTATGTAAAAGCTCTATCTAATAGAACTGCATTCTTCCTGTGCTTCAGGTATGATCCTAAGGAGAACAAATGGACCCGTGTGGCCTCCATGAGCACCAGGCGACTGGGTGTAGCTGTGGCTGTGCTGGGGGGGTTCCTGTACGCTGTAGGAGGGTCTGATGGGACGTCACCATTAAATACAGGTATTGGACTGAGTCATACAATAATAGCAGTCTTAAATTGACCCAGAGCTGTGACAAGAATGGTGGTTAGGTAGAAACCTGTTAGAATTAGTTAGATGTTTGTGGAAGTTAATGTTTATATGAAATTACCAATCATAATGCAGGTAAACTGTTCCTTAAAAATTGATGAATTCATTCAGCGACACAAAAGATAATGCAATACTCAAGTGTATCGGTATTTTTCCACACCCCTGACTGAGCTGAACTGAACTTACTAAAGACTGTCATCTGAGAGTGGTAGTGGCTGCTTTGGGTTAGCATTAATCAACTAAATATCCAGGGTTTCCATCTTTTTGTGTGATATTTGAAAAATATGGTCTGAATCCTCTGAGGGCAGAGTTTTCATAGTGGGAGAGTGTGAGACATAATGCAGGGCGGGGCCGTGCATTTAGAACTGCAGCTCAATGGGACATGAGTTAGGAATAGAATAGTGCTGTTAAAGATCACCACGAAAGATGGAAGTAAAAGTTACCATAGATCTATTTCAGTTGTCTGTCCACTATGTGGTTAGTTTGCTGTTAAAATGTTAACTCTAATCATCTTCTTTTTCTTTTTTCTTTCTCTCCATATCAGTGGAGCGCTACAACCCTCAAGAGAACCGCTGGCACACGGTGTCCCCCATGGGAACCAGGAGGAAGCACCTTGGCTGCGCGGTCTACCAGGACATGATTTACTCTGTCGGAGGGAGGGACGACACCACGGAGCTGAGCAGTGCAGAGCGTTACAACCCCAGGACCAACCAGTGGTCTCCTGTAGTGGCCATGACGTCCAGACGGAGCGGGGTCAGTGTGTGTGTGCGCGTGTGTGTGTGTTGGGATTTTGTGGGGTTGAAATATGAGGTTCGTTTTTGCATAGGTTTAAAGCACTGAGATGGTTATCAAAGCTCAATCTGTGTGAGGCTGATGTGTGCTGGTGTGTGTCTGTAGGTGGGCCTGGCTGTGGTGAACGGTCAGCTGATGGCAGTGGGGGGCTTCGATGGGACGACGTATCTTAAAACTATAGAAGTCTACGACCCCGATGCCAACACGTGGAGGTAAGTGCTACTGTAAAAGGATGACGTTACAGTTGTGAAACCATACAACAATAATGGAAGCTACTCAGTATATGTACATGAATGTGTTCAGATTGAATGTTACTGCAGTTGTAATGATATCCGTGCAGAATAATAAGTCAATGGGGCAACTGGTGTGCTCTGTAGTCTGTACAATATCAATCTGTTCAATATGATTCAGCCCTTTTTAACCTGGAGATATTGGAAACACAGCAAGATCTCATATACATCTACTCTCTAATACATGCTACGACTGTCTCTCCAACTCCAAACATGTTTCTATTAAGTGATGTTTAGTAATGATTAGTAAGATTATTAGCTTTGCATTACTATATTACGCTGTTTACTGCAGCGCCGGCTTAAAATAAAGTTGCAGCTTTCCATTTGCTGTGGCTAATTTTACATAGTAATAGGGATGCAACTAACAAGTATTTTAAATATCGATTAATTGGCTGACTATTTTCTAGATTTCTTTTCTAAATATCGAAAAATGCCGTCCCAGTTTCTCCAGGTCCAAGGTGAAGTCTTTAAATGTCTTGTTTTGTCAGTCCAAAACCCAGAGATTTTCAGTTTAATGTCATATAAAGGTATAGAGAAAATCAGTACAATCTCCAGGCTGAAAACAGCATCTCCCTCCATGTTTGCATAGAAAATGACTGATATCAATATAGTTGGCGATTATTTTCCTGTACTTGTTGATGTAATTGAAAATGGATGTAATTCACATTGGCAATTTACTTTCTGCTGTGTCAACCTTATAGTATCACATGTCCACTCACAGACTACACCTGTTTGCAGACAATAGTTTTTATGGAAACAAGAGCAGACAGTGGGGGTTACAGCTGCCTTCATTTTTCATTTTTATTCCAAATCCAGAAGTAAAATTTGCAGTCTTACGTCCAACATACAATTCGACCATCACCGTTTTTACTGTGTATTCAGAATGTAGTTAGCATGTTTATGAGTTGTGATTTTATGAGAGTAAGTCACTTAATGCAACTTGTCAGATTGGGAATAGAAAAAAAACTGTTGAGGGCTTAGTTAGGAACAGTGTCCTCACTATCAACAGCTTTCATAATAAGTACTTTCTGTTTCTGGAAAGAGATTTCTACAGAATTTAGTTGTTTGAAGTTGACGAATTTTGCAATATGCTTTTCTCATCTGTAAAGCATATTGATATCACTATTGACAACTAATAGTGAACAAATATTGGATTGGATATTTAGCTGTAGGGCAGTATGGCCTCGGATTTATATACTTATAATACTTACAATAAAATTTCAATATGAATGCTTTTGAAGGGGTAAAACACTGGTATAGCAACTGCATGGTACTCAAAGTGCTCTAACTGTACTACCAGAGATGTTTTAGGACCATTTATTGTGCAAAAAGAATGTGTTTTGATTTGTGGTGAAAGAAAAGACTGCTCGTCTTACCGCCCCTTGCAACCACTGCCGTCCAACATTATTAGAAGATTATTGTTTTCTGCTTGTCTGACTTTTTAAACCCAAACCACGTCCATGTAATGAGAGTCAGTGTTGTGCATGACAGTGTTTAAAGAAATAAAAGACAAGACATAATAGACTGAGATTGTAATGGCACATCTCCTGGCTGGGTAAATTTAGAAGTCAGTCCATGACACAACAAATCAACCTGACTTAATTAGACTGAGTGATATCACATACTCCCGAGAAGAGGCTTTTTAAGTACTCGTGCTTTTGAGCATAGAACTGAATTCTTCCTCATCATTTGACTCTCACTCACTCTTTTCAGGTTGTACGGAGGAATGAACTACCGCCGGCTAGGTGGAGGGGTGGGCGTCATTAAAATGACTCACTGTGAATCCCACATATGGTAACATCAACCCGCTCTCCCAACCCCACACACACGCTCCCACACACCCCTCATCACGTTGCAATGGAAGCCTCTTTTCACCGACTCTCGTGCCTCCAAAAGAGACGCTGTAATTCACGCGAGGATGAGAAAGACGTGGGGGGAGACGAGACGGAGACTTTGAACTCTAGTTCATCCCCAACCCCCCCTCTGAGGTCATTATTAACTTTGGAATAACCTGGCTGTCTTCATTGGTCGACCGCTGTCACCATGAAGTGCACTGAGAGCAGACATCTACCAAGTACCATTAAACTTCCAGTTTGGAGAGGACGGTCCTTCTCCTGCGACCTCTCCATGTTTCCATCCTCCAAGCCTTGCACTCTGGGACATCTGATTTGGCTGGAACTCATCTTGGGGGAGATTAGCTTACATTTCTAAAGTGTTCATCGTGTCACTGGAAGAGGAGACTGAAAGTCTGTCACCTTCCCGTGTTCTTAAATGCTAGCCCCTAAATCCTGGCTACTGACCACCGCCCTCGGCGAGTTAAAACAGCCAGCGGACCAGCGAACCTTCTGTTCAGTGTGTGAGACTGATTATTTCCTGGAGACATTGCATACTGTCTGTCAGAGGTAAATCTCTCATTCTTTTTCTACTCTGCTTTAGGCTTCAAGCAAACATCTCGTCTTATGTCTAATGTCTCTAGGATTTATGTGTAGCATAAAACAAGTCTACCTTTAGGCTGGACACCCAGAGAGGAAAAACAATTAATTTCACCAATAATGGTCACCAGGGAAGATGGGTTTCATGACAAGGATGTGTGTGAGGAAGTCACTGCTGTCTGTTACAAAACTTAACCCCTCAGTAGGAAGAACTCAAATCATCCAATCATGTCGCTGGTTTATTGTTGGTTCCAGTGCTGAAACCTAAAGGCCTCACTATGCTTCAGACTAACTCAAGGCTTTGCATTATCAGATGTAATTATGGACTATTATAGTCCATTATCTGAAAAAGAACAGTAATCTCCTTTTTTTGCTAATTGGCCGCTGATATCTCAGCCACAGATATACTGTGCATCCCCAGTTTATCCCTGTTACGCCAAATGGCAAAGGTCTGCTGTCATAGCGTCCACATGGCTACATCTCACTGCCTCTACCATCTCAAGACCCGCCCCTTTTTGCTGTCCAATAACAGTCAACTGTCTCTGTTCCTGTACCTACATATGTTATGTGCTAGACTTGTCTATGTTGCAAAGAAGCACATTTTGAAGATGGTTAAAAGTGACGTAAGGATTGATGAAAATGAGCTATTATTTAGCTCACATTAGCTCCCAGATTTAACTACGTAACGATTGATGAAAGTTACAAAAAGTTGCACTTATTTTAGACACTGTTAGATGAAGAAGTGATTCGTTTGAAGCATATTGAGACCATATCAGTGTCATACTGCGTTTAATAATACGCAACAAGCTTTACCTCAGAAGTGGGAGCTTTAAAGGATAATGCTGCCAGTGTTTGTCAATGAATCTCATGAAAAGATCAAAACCAACAATGCCTCTGTCCTTCAGTAGCTTTCCTACCCTGTCTGTGGTACACAAATCTCTTCATACATACTGTAGTCTTTAAAACATTTTAAAACGCATATCTTTTCATTTTTTAAAAAGGACTCAAACAGCTGGGCACTGCAATTCTTCAACAACAGGAGGAGACTATTTTGTTGGACTATTTTTAGTCGCGGATTAAGACACATTTGGTGTATTTGTGTGTGTGTGTGTGAGAGATTGAGTCTAAATAAACTACAGTGTGTGTGTGTGTGAGAGAGAGAGATGTGAGTTTTGTTAGAAAACAGACACCCAGACTTTGAATTTAATGTATTTATTTTGGTTTTGGTCGCAATTAAATTATTCTTCTATCCATCCTGCACACTCATATGTCAAATTGTTGCCTTTTTGTAGCAGTTATAGTGTAAATTCAGTCACTTTCAGGTGTTTCACAGGAAATAATCAGCTCAAATTCATCAAAATCGCAATTTTTTCACAAACTTCCTGCAGTTATTGTGTTAATTGTACCTTTATTCTTATGCATTAAATATAATACGAAACATCCATAAAATATTAGTCCATTTATCTTTAAGGAAAAAGGTTGGGAACCACCGAGTTATCCTAGTTGTAATAGTTTAGGAAGGCGAATTATGTTGCAGAAAACCGATTAAACTAAAGTATTTTATTATTAAATGTAACAAATCTATTATTCGAACATTTCCTGGATCATTTTGTAACGCAGGTAAACGCTCGTGTGGCGGCAAATCTTCCCCAAAAACACCTGGTGGAGCGTAAAGAGTGAAGTCCACGGTTGGCGTGACGCTCAGGTGTCCACATACTTTTGGCCGCTCTCTCTCTCTCTCTCCTTTATCCACTGATGTTGTCTTTCTCTGAGTCAACACTTTCTCTCTCTCTCTCTCATGTCATCTCTTTCCCTTCCTCCTCCTCCTCCTCCTCCCCCCTTCATCTTCTCTCCACTATCTGTTAATTTGCTCTCTATCTCCCTCTCTCTCCCTCTCTCTCTCTCCTCTCTTTGAACCTCTCCTTTAGCCCCTGCGGCCCCAGCCAATTACACACTGTTTGTCCACCCGTTTTCAATAAAACACTGCTTCCCTCCCTCCCTCTCTCCTTTTTTTTCCTGTTTTCCTCTCTCTCTCCCTCTCTCTCCCCCTGTCCACCCCCGACTGCTTCCGTCCACTCCTGTCTTCCCTCTCCTCCTCCTCCTCCTCCTCCTCCTCCTCTCTTCGTTCCCTTTTTTCATTTTTAATTAACTTCTTTTGTAACTTGGAAGCGACCCCCCTCCTTCAACATGCCTCTTGCACTCCCACACTCGCTCTGTCTTTCTCACAAACACTCTCTCTCTCTCTCTCGTCTGTGTGAGTCTCGGCCTTCGCCTTCGTCGCCGCCGCACACAAACACACACATGTAAATGGAGGTTAAACATGCTATTTACATATCAATTACAGGCAGACACCGAATCAATGATTAATGCGGGCTCAGATTAACGCAGAGCCCTGCTGGTTTAAATTAATCTGCTGCCGCTTAAGTGCTGTGTTCAGCGAGTTAAAGATTTTATACATTTGATTTTTTGGTTTTCATTTCAAATAAATTGATTTTTTTATTACTTTCAGCCTTTGAAATCAACGACTTGTGTCAGTTTGTATAGGCTACTACTCCGAGCTATAACGGCTATCTGCCAGGAAGGAATGTGTTTAAGATTTTATAAAAAAGGTGATTTAGATTAAAGACACGTTTAGAGGGTTTTGTGTAATTGAATGAATCTGGATTAATCAATTGCGCATTAACGCTACGTCTGTTACCATAACCGCTAACTGCTCTGAAAAAAATGATACAGGTAACTTGTTTTTCAAAAAGCTTTCATTATTTGAAATTCACAACTGTTGAAATATCTGGATTATTTTTGACTAATTTAAATAATTAAATCCATTTTTTTCTCCTTTGATTAGCTTTAAACCTGCTATCTTAACTGCTACTGGTGAGCAAAAACCTCTTATCTGAAAGAATTTGTGACTTAAAAATGGATTTTAAAATACATTTAGCATTAACTGAACACATGCAACAAACCAAACCAAGAATAAGGAAGCATAAATAGTCTTGTGAAAGCAGGAAGTAGTTGACCAGTTAACGGTCAAAAACACATATTCACTAAATCGGCGTTACACAAACCGGCTCACCGTCGCAATTAAAACCCCCTCAGTTAATGAATGAACAGTGAGTTGAGTCTTTATGTGTGACCGCTCTATGTTTCACTCTGCTTTCATGTTACAGTTTGTGGGTTTTATTGGTTTTTGACTCGGCTTTTATGTCAGGTTGCAGTATGTGATTTTACTGGCTTTAGCTGCGGTTTAATTTCACTTTGATATAATCCTGCAGGCTATTCACATGGTGTTCACGTGCATTTAGTAAAAAAGGTAAAACATAATATTTTGTGTTTTATATTCTGTATTTGGCAACGAGGGGACAGAGTTTAAACCTTAAACCTTAAATTTAACAGCATACCTGTAATAATCTTATAATAATCTATATTCTTATAGGTTTTTTCTGCAGATTGTTAAACTTTAAAGCCTAAATTGGCTATTTTTCTATTGCACACCTCTGTGAGATGTGTCAAAAACAATTACCTGCTTATTGATGAGGAACTTCTCATTTGACTGAGATTAAGGATCTTCCAAATGAACGAACACCAACAAATAAAAGTCTGAAAACAAAACACTTCTCATGCAGAGAATCTTTAAAATCCTCCATCGTTCTTTTTCAGGAAAACCTTGTGACTTTGATGAGATGCCAAACAATACAATAGTCTTTTTTTTTTCTTCCTCTACCTGTCCCTCTCTCTTTTTAAAGGTGGAGTGCATACAATGATTTATTGGTGACACCAATATGTCAAACACAGAGAGGATAAAAAAAGAAGAGGTGAAAAGAGAGAGAGAGAGAGACAGAAAAATAGATACAAGGATGGGGAGGGAAAGAAGGAGATAACGAAAGAAAGAATCAGAAATAGAAAAAGTGGGAGAAAAGGAAGCGAAAGACAAAAAGATGTTGTGCAAACTAAGACCGATTCAACAGTTACAGTGACGAGAGCATGAACACACACACACACACACACACACACAAACACACACATAGCGTTTGACAGCAAA